ATTCAATTAAAAAAACTATTTATAATATTCATTAGCACTATTTTGTTTTAATACGTGATTTTGCGTCGATATTTTTGTCCTATCTACTAGATATGAAAGTTAAGACCACAATAAAAATTTGAGGTAATCCAATTTAATTTTTTGTCTTTCATTCTTTTATCTAAGTTGTTAAATCACAATATGTATCGTGTATCATTTGTCCCTTTTTTTGTATTGTGCATCTTAAATTTTATCGAATCATATGATACAAAAATATAAATATATATAATATAATTAATATCATATAAATCTAAATTCTAAAAAAGATCTAATAAACAAAATACATAAGTAATTAAAGTGCAAACCAATTATTTTCTTACTCATCAATCACCAATTAAAGTGCAAACCAACTATTACTATCAGCATCTATAAATGACATAACTAATTTATCATCCTCTTCCAAACAGGATCCTTTTAAGTTTTTTTTTTAATTAAATCGCAAATCAAATATTTATTTCTTTTTTATTTTAAAAATTATAAAATTTTAGTTTAACTTTTGTATCGTATGATATCATATCGTATCGCAAGATATAATATCGTATCGTTTGATACAAATCCTTTTTGATACGTCTCACAATACAGGTATCAGAATATACTGATAAATATGTTTTTACGAAAGTAAGTCCATCTTTTCTTTTTTTAGAAATATTTCAATCGGTTAATTGCTTCGCAACTAATTTGATTCAGGACGGATTCAAGATTAAAGCATTAAACTCTCCCAAAGGTCCATCGATCTTAGCTTTTAAGAACTAAGTTTTAAGCAATGATGTTAATTACACGTTATTTTTATCCATTTTTTATGCAAATAACTAAATTGAATTCAAAATATATTATCCAGATTTGGAATAAGATAATGAGGGAACGTTATAGTTACAACCTCTTTTTCTTATTATATCTTATTACTAAATCTTAACCGTTGATTTTCGTCAATCTAATGGTTGTAATTTATTGGGTCATACTTATTAATTAATTATTAATTTCCAATAAATTATAACCGTTAGATTGATGAAAATCAAGGATTAAGATTTAGTAATAAGAAAAAAAGATAGTAAATATAATCTTTCTCAAAATATTATACCTATAAAAAAAATTTTGTTTATTTTACCTATTTGACACCTTTAAATCTCAATCTCAACAAACTTTTATTTTTTTCTCTTCTTTATGATCTTATAGGTGTTGAAGATAAATATAATATCATATCTCTCGAATTTTAACGTCCTCAACCTTTTCTCTCAAAGAATTTAAAATATATATTTATATTTAAAAATTTTGTACCACTACCACTACTCGGCTCAGCAGTAGAAATTAGAAACAGAGACTTTTCGATTCCAGCCTTTCGTTTCTTGGAAACAATCTTACCAACCAAGAGATCAAGTTATAAATAAATTTAATTAAAAGAAAATACAACAATATTTAATTAAAATATTTACTATTAAAGTACTAAAAATATTATATGTCCATTGATATTTTTTATTCCATTTTCTAGAGTTACCACTTACCAATATAATAAGAAAAGAGTTAAAAATATTTTGCCTATTTTTTTTAAGTCTATTTTACCTACTCATTTTCAATATTATTAGATCAAAATATTTACTAACATTCACATCTTCTCTCTCCTCTTGAGTTTTTGATGTAACGATGTTGAAAATAAGTAGATAAAATATGTATAAAAAAAATAGGCATAGTATCATATCTCATAAGAAAAATATTAAAAATAATTTCCATTTTTTTATTTTTAAAAGCAACGGATAAAAAATAAAAATTATTATTTAGGACAAAAAATACTTTGAAAAAAAAGAATAAACTCTCGTATTAATAAATAAAGTCCACACGATGAAGTTTACCAAAAAAAAAAAAAAAAGTCCACACGAAGAATTATTTTTTTCACACGAGAATTACTTTCATGCGGAAGGAAGGTGAGAATGCATCCGTGGTACATTAAGGGTGTGCATGACAACCTTTTCAATAGAAAAAATTACAGAAAACAACATGTAGAAGTAGAACATAATTTATAGAGTTATTTACAAAACAGTCCTACATGTCATCAGAAATATTGATCTAATCATTTAAAATTTTGGAAAGAGATTTATTAACTACTCCCTGATGAAAGTAGTTATGTCTTTTGATTTATAATTAATCTGTGGGAGTAGTCATATATTATGAATTACAACTAGTTGACCGGAGAATTATGTCTTTTGAATGTTTACTTGATGAGAATATTCATATCCCTTGCATCACATCTATTTGATGGGAATAATCATGTCTTTTGAGCGACAAACAAATTAATGGAGTCCTGCCTTGCCTTTTGCATGATATATATATATATATATATATATATATATATATATATATATATATATATATATATATATATATATTAAAGGAAAGAAAATAATTTTATTTGTCAATAAAAATTATATCTTATATTTTTAATTAAAAATAAAATTATGTATTCTTAACCTGTTTTTTCATAACCTTGATTTATAAATATTGAACATAAATTTTATAACTATGTACTCTATATGAAGCTCTCTTTCTTGCCCATCTTCCTTTTCTTTATTAAAAAGACTAATTAAAGTAATGAAATTGGTAAACCAAGTATTGTGAGAAGATTTATTGTTTATGTTTTCTGACTTATTTGATCAACATGATAGAATAACAATGAATATAATATAAGAGCTGAATAAGAATAGGAAATACTATAGATTTGATGCTATGTTTGATTGAGTATAAAATATTGTTATGATGTTATCAAAACAAACAAAAAAAAAAAAATATTGTTAGGAATATGGACTGAATTTACAATCGTACCCTTAAGACTCGATTTTGAATAACTAGCTCCAATTTTTCGTCATCTCTTTCTTTGTCTGATATTTCCATTAGTCTCTTTCTCTCATCTTTCATTTCCCCTGAGCTTTCTCTCGCTGAGAAACACAACAGAATGCAAAAAGGTAAAAAAAAAATTATTTCCCAAGTTCTTTCTAAAATTAAATTACCGCAATGGATAATTAGCACCACAATGGCAGCCATCTCCTCAGCTAGATTTAAAATTCTGGTAAATGGGTCCCAAACGGAAGACATTATGGAAGAGAATACGTGAACCCATCCCCTGAAGTGCATGAACTATTAGTCAAAGATACCTTTCTATTTCAATATAGCAATGTGTTTAGTAATGTTTAGTTAATTTTCGTTTTCAATGCATCAAAGAAAAAGAAAAATAAAGAAACAAAGAGAATACGTAGTTATGAAAAGATTTTCAATGCATCAAAAGAAAAAAAAAAAAAGAAACAGAGAGAATATGTGATTATGGAAAGATTCATTTTTCGTGTTTTAGTTTTTTTTCTTTGCTTCAAAAAATACGGATCTCACAAAATATTATCTGTATAATTTTATTTTATTTTTATGTCATGTTACATGATAAATGCAAATTTCAAAAAAAAATTTGTTACAGGAGAAGAGAAACGCAACTGTTTTAATGAAGTCTGAAAGTGAAGTCACAAAGCACAAACATCGGAACTGAAACTATTCATCAGATGACATGAAAAGTTAACTAGACTTAACTGAGAATAGTTAAAAAAAAAAAAATCATTGAAGTCAAATGATTAAAACAAATCGTATAACATAATAACAACTGTTGATAACAGTCTTTTGTTCACTCCGCCATTAATTGAATTTGTAGCTTTCTACCTTAACCATTTGGTTAGAGATTTTTTTTTCTAGTGTTGCTTGAAAAGAAAAATTATGTCACATTATAATTATATATTCAGAAAATACGTAGTTATAATAAAAAAAAAAATTTCTTTCTTTCTTCATATAAAAACAACTTCTGAATAAATAAATAAAACTTTAATATTATAACTATATAATTTTTTGAGAATATATGATTATAACATAAGATTATTTTTGCACAATATTATAAATAAATTTCCTTTGTTGTAAGTGAAATGCATCTAGAAAAATATACCATTGCAATGATAGTTTTAATTTTTAATTATTGAAATATTGGCAGATTCCTTTGTCCTCTCAGAGAGAGAGAGAGAGTGAAAGAGACTCTGAGTTGCCATGTGGTTTGAAATCAAAGAGGACAAAAAAGAAGCTCCGATTTCTTCACGAGTCCTCACTCCTTACTACATGCTTTTAATAAATATTATATAGAAAAAATATTTTTCTATTACACTCACGAAAATGAAAATAAGTGAATCTGGTGTGAAGGGAAAAAAAAATGTGAGGCCAATAAATATGAATATGGCAGACAAATATTTTTTACAAAAAATGCACAAATGTTTAAACAATTCTTAATTTCTTATGGTTGCTTCACCATCCACAATATATTCGTGTTTTCTCAAAACTGGTATACCAAACGAACAATGACCAAGAAAGCTTACATATATATATATATATATATATATATATATATATATATATATATATTACTTATATATATATATATATTACTTTTTTGTCAAAAATTAAAATAAATCAAAAAATTTAGTACATATATTAACTACTTTTTCAAAATTCGCTCTTAAAATTTTAAGAATTAAACTAATCTAAACATGGAGGAAGGTAAAATTAAAATAAATTAAAAGATTTAGTACATATATTAACTACTTTTTCAAAATTTTAAGAATTAAACTAATCTAAAAATGGAGGAAGGTAAAATTAAAATAAGAGCAGTACACCTAGGATTTAATTCAGAAATCAAGAAATTTTTGGAGAAAGATAAATCTTTATTTATTAAAGTCTACGAATAAATACCTGGAAACAATTACCTGCAGAGTAAATCCTTTTCTATAATTTTTTTTATTAAATATTCAAAAATTCAAATTAAAAAATATATAAGAAAGTTCTATCCTGGAAAACTAGAACTCTTATTTGCATAAAAAATAAAATAAAATAAAAAAGGACCAGCAGAAGACACTGATACTCCCAAAATTCGTTGATCCCTTAATTCCTCCTGATCAGAAGAACAAGGCGTCCACGTAGGCCAACAACGGCTTATTTGAGCAAAGGAAATCCGTTGAACTCGCTCCTAACATCCCCAAATTCTTAGCATAAGGGATAAACGGAGCATCCAGCATCGGTGGCGGCGCCGCCACCAAACACGACTTCACCTCACCCATATTGCAGCTCCAGTTGCAATTACTGTCGTCGGTAATCACCGACGACGACGTGTCATTCTCCTCCTTACAAACCACCGCAACCTTCTTGGCAAATTCGCCCTTCACGCAGTCCTTCTCCTCCTTCACCGCCACGGCTTCCCGGGGCTCATGCTTCGGCGGGTTGCAACCGTTGCCGCCGATATGGTTTTCTTCTTCTTCTTCTTGATCATCATCATCATCATCTTCGTCTGGGCGAGAGAGTCCCGTGAGCTTTTGCACCAAAGCCATGAAGTTATTAGGGTGAGTGTGAATGATCTTGGGAGAATGAGTGTAGATAATGACTGGTTGGCGTTGCGGTGGCTTGGTGGAAGAAGCTTGTGGTGGTGATGGTGATGGTGATTTTTTCTTGATGAAATGAGAATCCTTGTTGATTTTCTTACCGTTGGTGGTGATTTGTTTCTTTGGGTAGAACGGTGCAGGGCTCATGGCTAAAAACTTTTGGAAGTTATGAAGAGAGAAGAAGCGTAATTGGTGAAATGAGGTTATGGTTTTGCGGAGACGGTGTTGAATTGAAGAGAAAAAAAAAAAAATATATATATATATATATATATATATATATATATAGGGTTTTATAAGAGTTATGTTGTAGGAAAAGTGATTGTGTTATGTTATAGAGATTCGTTTTGCGTGCCAGAGTTTTTTTTTTTTTTTTTTTGCTACGGGCCCCACAAAATGTTGTGTGTGTAGGAAAATTTTTGTGGTCATGTTAAATGATAGATGATAAACCCATATATATATATATATATATACTTAATGCAACGACGTCTGTGATTTGCGAAAATGCTTAATTGTGTGAAAGATGTCGAGACTCGCGAACACAGAGGCGCACTCTCCATCTGTTTCAAATTTGCTTTCCTATCAGCAGATTTGTTAAAAGTTTCATCGTTTAGTGGGATGTTGTTACTTAAAATTTTGATTTAAATCTGTATTTTCATGATTTTGTGATTTTTTTAAGAAAAAAGATATACTTACTCTCAAAAAAATTTACAACATTTACAACTAATCTAATCACCGTTGATTTCCGTCAATTTAACGGTTATAACTTATTGAAAATTATTAGATCGTATTTATTAATTAATTATTATTCCCAATAAATTATAACCGTTAGATTGACAGAAATCAACGGTGATTAAGTTAGTTGTAAAGTGATAAATTTTTTTGGTGGTAAGTATATCTTACCCCTTTTTTTAATCAAAATAATTTTATCAAAATTTCAAACGATTTTTTGTTTTTATGATTTTTTTACGTTAAGATTTTACGTTTTACGATTTTTATCCTTCTTTCGATTTTAGGTAAAATTCCGACTTCGGTGGGATGGATCCACATCTTTTGTCATTTTTAATCAAATAAAAAACTGTCAACAACCAAGAGAGAGAAACCAGATTCTATAATATATATATATATATATATATATATATATATATATATATATATATATAGAAAAGGTATTGTAAAACTCAAGTAGTATGAACTTATTAAATATGGAGAATCATAACCATACAAAGATAGAAATAAATATAACTGTTGGATCAACGTAATCAATCTAACAGTGAAATTGATTGGTAGTAACACTACTTGATTGTTACAATATCCTATCCCTATATATAGGATAAATGATTTCTTCCGTCAATTGAGATAAGTTATATTCGGAGAGCCCAAAACAAAGTCGTTTCGTGATAGAAATCAATGTATTTTTGTAATTCTAATATATTGCAGGGTTATATTAGTCTTTATCATTATAATTTTTTAATCTTATAACTCAAAATGACGTCATTTTGATTTCACTGAAAATAATTTTATCTCCGGTGACCGGAGAAATAATTTTCCCATACGGAGGACAATAATAAAAAAAAGAGATATATTATTTATAACCCCAATCCCAATTTCAGTATGATATTGGATATTTTGAGAATCTTATTTTTTTTTCCTGCTATATAATTTCTTTTAAAAAAAAATTAATTTTTCTTTTCAAAATCCCTTTATATTGTCTTTTAGATATAGGGAATATTTTTTGTTTAAAATTGGAAATAATTTTATCTCATATAACAAAAATATTAAAATTTAATTAAAAAAACTTTATTTATAATATTCATTAGCACTATTTTGTTTTAATACGTGATTTTGCGTCGATATTTTTGTCTTATCTACTAGATATGAAAGTTAAGACCACAATAAAAATTTGAGGTAATGCAATTTAATTCTTTGTCCTTCATTCTTTTACCTTAGTTAGTTAAATCACATATATATCGTGTATCGTTTGACAGCGGAGTCAAGATTTTATTTTAGTTGGGGTTAAAAAATTTGACATATCAAATTATCAAAACATTTATCGTAATTACATAAATTTATTAAGAAAAAAATTTACCATGAATTCTAGCATACTTATCTAAATTATTTACTAAATAATGTCACATAACATTAAAAATTCAAATAAACAATAGACAACTATTATATATCAAAGCAAACATATAAAAAAAACTAACCTTTCTGGCGAGCATTCCAAACAAAAGAATCACATTTTTCTCCCACCAGGGATGTTCACGATCTGGATTGGATCGATTTTGGAAGCAAAAATCTGATTCAATCCCTTCGGTTTGATCATATAATTATCCATTCGGTTTGAATTTTTTCTTCAAATCCGATCCAATTCAATCCAAATTTTTTCTATTTGGATTGGATCAGTTTTTGGTTTTTTTGATTTTTTGAAAAATCCTAAAATTTGTTTCATGATTACTGTGCAAATAACATCTTTTGCATATATTGACTTTGTAATTTATTTTTTAAATACAAAAGCATCAGTAAATAATAATATAGTTTTTTGTGTGTGCAATGAGATATAAAATTTTATACAGATAAAATTTTGTTGATGAGATGTGACTAGGATTTTCTTGAGTTTAGTTGATGGGTTAATGGTCTTGGGTTTAGAAATTTTTGGGCTATAATTGGAGAAAACCCAAATAGGTAGAGGGTAATTAATATATTGGATCAGTTTGGATTGGATCGGTTTTCTTCAACCAATCCGAAAACCAATCCAATCCAATTAAAATTTGCGGTTTTTTTTTTCGATTTTTCAGTTTTCAATTTATTTGATTATCAATTTTTCGATTCGGCCACTGCAGTTTGAATCGGTTGATGAACACCCCTATCTCCCACAACATAATAAGTAATGAACAAGTATTGCCTTAGGGATATGAATACACACAAATATAATAATTATATGTATAACAACATTTAATAAGTAATTTAAAATGTAATAAAAAAATTACATACTTAAAATTGTAAACGACGCTCTTTTAAACTGAAGAAATCTTCAAGAATATAATCTATAGTAAAAGTTTCAACAATCTCTCTTTCAATATACAAAACCAAATTGTTTGCAAGAAAATCATCCTCCATGAAATAATTTTTCTTGATATTAAAATAAAGGTGTTGTAAGTCACTAAGCTATCATGAAAAAATTTATACAACTGCAGGCTGTATCGTATAAGTATTAAGTAATTGCTTGCAATTTCCTAATTATTTATAAAATAGTTATTGTGAGAAAGAAAAAAAAATAACATTTTGTTTTAAAGAGCACCAATTTAAGAGCAAATACCATTGAGACACGAAGACACGAAGACACCGCTGAGATTTCCAACTCCACATAGAATGTATTAGGCTATTAGCTGAGAGACAAAGAGCATAGATGGTGCCAAATTTTAACTTTAGAAGGGATCAAATAATAATTAATTATATAAATATATATAATAATAATTTTGTTAAAAAAGTCAGCAAGGGTCATGCCCCATCTAGGGACTACGTGGCTACGCCACTATCATTTGTCCCTTTTTTTGTATTGTGCATCCTAAATTGTATCGAATCATAAGATACAAAAATATAATAAAAAGTATATAATATAATTAATATCATATAAATCTAAATTCTGAAAAAGATCTAATAAACAAAATACATAAGTAATTAAAGTGCAAACCAATTATTTTCTTACTCATCAATCATTAAGATTAATATTATCAATACTATCACTATCAACATCTATAAATGACATAACTAATTTATCATCCTCTTTCAAAAAGGATCCTTTTAAGTTTTTTTTAATTAAATCGCAAATCAAATTTTTATTTTTTTAAAATTATAAATTGTAATTTAACTTTTGTATCGTATGATATCATATCGTATCACAAGATACAATATCGAATCATTTGATACAAACACTTTTTGATACATCGCACAATACAGTGTATCAGAAGATACTGATAACTATGTTTTTACGAAAGTAAGTCCATCTTTGCTTTTTTTGAAAATATTTCAATCGGTTCATTGCTTCGCAACTAATCCGATTCAGGACGAGTCCAGAATTAAGATTTTAAACCCCTCCCAAAGGTCTATCGATCTTTGCTTTTAAGAACTAAGTTTTAAGCAATGATGTTAATTACACGTTATTTTTATCCATATTTTATGCAAAATAACTAAATTGAATTCAAAATATACTATCCAGTTTTGGAGTAAGATACTGAGAGGAGGTTATAGTTACTACCTCTTTTTCTTATTGTCTCTTATTACTAAATTTTAACCGTTGATTTTCGTCAATCTAACAGTTGTAATTTATTGGGTCATACTTATTAATTTTCAATAAATTATAACCGTTAGATTGACGAAAATTAATTATTAAGATTTGGTAGTAAGAGGTAGTACGACCGACAATGCTATATGGAGCGGAATGCTGGCCAGCACATAGGCAACATGAGCATAAGATAGGAGTAGCAGAGATGAGGATGTTAAGGTGGATGTGTGGTTACACAAGGATGAATAAGATAAGAAATGAAGATACTCGACGAAAGGTCGGAGTAGTACCGGTAGCCGAGAAGATGAGAGAACATAGATTGAGGTGGTTTGGGCACGTGATGAGAAGACCCATGGATGCTCGTGTAAGAACAGAAGTTTGTTACCAAAAGCTAAACACAAAAAGAGGTAGAGGTAGGCCGAAGCTTACTTGGGGGAAAGTAGTAAAACAAGATTTAATGGAGTGAGATATAGATTGGCGGACAGTATGTCTTAGAAAGGAATGGACAAAAGCTATAAGTATGGTGGAGGGTTAGACCCGCTGTTATTCATATGTTCCAGATGGTCCCTTTTTAGTCCTTTTCCCCTTCATTTCCCCCACTTCTTCTTGTCCCTTTCTTTTTTACTTTTATTTATTTATATATACATATATTTTTATTTTATTTTATTTTATTATTTTATTTGTGTATTTTAATTTATTTATTTATTTTTTATTTTTATTTTACTTTTTATTTTACTTTTTTTCCAACCGTTTTGTATCTTTCATGTGGGTTCATCTACCACCGACCTCAATTAATTTGGAATAAAGGTGTTGTTGATATTGATGTTGTTGGTAGTAAGAGGTAATAAGAAAAAGAGATAGTAAA